GTGCTAGAACCACGGAATCTGGGAATGCCTAACACCTTCTCCCGGGTTAACAGAATTCCTTACTCGGATTTCTGGTTCGCGGACTATTAAACAGAGTCATATTTTCCTCGATTCGGGATTCAAGCGGTGACTTGGGACACCATAAATCTCCCAAGTGGTGACTCTGAGTTTCTTAAAATAAATCCCGTTTCGATTGTTCTTTAATTAGAAAAACTCCCTTTACATATACCCTTTTTCGGGGTGTAGGGGAAAAAGGAGGTGTGACAATGAGAATCTAAAGCTGATATGTGAGACCATCAACGAATCTTTGAATCCTCTCAATATCCATAGGAACCAACCAAATAGCATGACAAGCTAACTCCGAGAACCTCATCTCATACTGCATCACAGTCATATCTCCCTAATGCAACTGCTCAAACTACCTGTGAAGCTCCTCTCTACGAGACTGTGGCACATACTTCTCCAAAAAGAGAACGGAGAACTGCTGCCAGGTAAGGGGCGCGACATCAACAGGCCTACACTTCTCATAAGCCTCCCACCAAGTAAAGGCAGCTCCAAAAAACTGAAAAGTAGTAAATGCTACACCGATGGTCTCCAAAATACTCGTTGTACGAAGAATCCTCTGACACTTGTCCAAGAAACCGTAGGCATCCTCGCCTCTGTACCACTGAAAGTCGGAGACTGGAGTATACCAGACCTCTCCAATCGACGCTGCTCGTCGTCAAGCATAACTAGTACCACATAATCCTGGACTGGTGCAACCGGTTGGGCTAGAGGTGCCCTAGTGTCAGAAGTCCCTGCACAACCTACTCAGCTGTGCAAGCAACGGGAGTCTGAGTACCTCCCCCCGCCTGAGAAGTAGTTGCGTCCGTAGTAACTGAGACTGCCTGAGCCAGGCCAGTGCATACTAATAGAATCTGAGCTAAAGCCTCGTGAAGGCCTGGAATAACAATCGGTATAGGCGGTGCCTGAGCCGGTCTTGCTGGAGCATCCGCAACTAGGACCTAATCCTGAACTGGGGCGGTTGGTGGATCTGTAGGTGCTGCCCTAGCTGTTGTACGGGCTATACCCCTGCCTCTACCACGGCCTCGACTGCGTCCTCGACCTCTAGTGGCCC